TAGTAACTTTATTAGTGGAGTTGGCTCAGCTACTAGATCGATTTGGAGCACCCACACAACTAAAATATTGAATTCGTGAAGCGCACACATGTAAACCTTTTCTTTCCTACCTATTCGCTGGTAGCCTAAGAGGGTATTCTAGCTACGCCCTAACGATTAGGTGAGCTCACGGACTTAACCTGAGAGAAGTTGCTAAATAAATGAAATGAAGTCGTCGTGGCCTAACAGATAAGACGTCCGGTGCATTCAAGTTGAGCGATGCGCCGGTGTTCGAATCCCGCAGGCGGGTACCAATTTTTCTAATGAGATACGTACTCAACAAAGGTTCACGATTGACTTCCACGGTGAAGGAATAACATCATGTAATAAAAATCAAACCCGCAAAATTATAATTTGCCTAATTACTGGTGGTAGGACCTTTTGTGAGTCCGCGCGGATGGGCATCACCACCCTGCCTATTTCTGCCGTGAAGCAGTAATGCGTTTCAGTTTGAAGGGCGGGGCAAGCGTTGTAACTATACTTGAGACCTTAGAACTTGTATCTCAAGGTGGGTGGCGCATTTACGTTGTGGATGTCTATGGGCTCCAGTAACCACTTAACACCAGGTGGGCTGTGAGCTCGTCCACTCATCTATGCAATAAAAAAATAAAAACGTTACGTAAGCAGTTTTGAACACCTAAGAGTATGCGTATTGAGTTACATTCGATATAAAAGGATTATATGTCTCTGATCGGACCTAGGTTTGTGTTTGATATAGCGATTATTGCACAATTAGAATTACTATTAATAATAATAATGATAACCGGAAACAAATCACGCACGGTCATCCGGCTTTAAGATTCCCTGTGATATGGGTACTAAAGACCGACATACATACTTATATAAGTTTAAATATATACATAAATAGATAATAAACATCCAGACAAAGGGCAAACAAAGCTGTTCATTACACGAAAGTTTGCCTAATGTGGGAATCGAACCCACGACCGTCGGCGCAACAGCTAGAAGCGTTTATTACGCACGACCGAGTGAGACAGAGGATTAAACCTCATGTCTCAAGGGTGCCATTAGCACTGTATTGTCTCCGATACGAATTATCACCAGCGGTCTCATTAGAAAAACTCTATTAAAATCTGTGCTAGTTAATCTTTTATAACGATTGTTTACTCTAAGAATAGTTACAATATGACTGTCTTTTAACATTTCAAGCATGAACCAAAATGACTACGCATTTGTATCAAGTAATCAAACAGATAATTCGATGAATTATGTGTCTATTTTGCACTAACATGACCCGTGTGTAATTGTAGACTAATTTCTTTATTAAGATTGTGTTCAATCGTCATGACTTAAAGAGCCGGGCTTAAAGAGATTTTTTTTCGATATTATTATTTGTTTTTCTTAGTACTCAACTAACATCTAAAATCTAACTGGTGGCACGATAACAGTCCTACATTTTTTTCTATCTAAGCTAATAGCCTTGAGAGGTTATTTCAGCGTAACTTTAACTAGTAGGAGAGCTCACAGGGCTCAAACTTGACGATGTTACTAACACGAACCCTAGCAAGAGCCATGCTCCGCAGAATCTACCACCGGATCGGAAATGCGACCCACTGAGAAGATCCGGCGAGAAACTCAGTGGGCTGTGTCTGTAGGTTAATTTACTCGTCGAGCCTTTCGTCGCAAGCGACGGGCGCGACGAGAACGATGACCGGTGCTTGAGGTACCTAAAAGCACCGTTAGTGGATCGGGAAGGATCCTATCAACATACTAACAACTCCTAGATGCTTTGAACAAAGCAAAAAAAAATCATTGTTAGAGAGAGAAGTTAACGGAAAACATTACTATCAGGTTACGGTAGGCATCGTCTTGGCTCTGCCCCTGGCATTGCTGACATCCATGAGCGACGGTAACCACTCACCATCAGGTGGGCCGTATGCACGTCTGCCTAAACGTGCAATAAAAACAATAATAATGACTTTTTGATTACCGCTTGGCGCCGTCTACGCGGAAATCCTAAATCGCTTACGTAACTATATTTTCCTCTTGCCGACTGAACTTTACGGTATCTTGAATACGTCTAAATGACCCTGTCACCCCTACGTCACATTACATATGCGACATCCGCGGCTTTCATTCGACCCCCACTCCTATAACTACATTATTATTAGCATTTATCAATTTATTGTGAACATTAAACCAGGATCTTTATGTTACATCACGAAAATTAAATAATACGCCTACAGATTTTTTTGGTAGTCCGTTTTTTGTTGAAAATAAGTAAGCGAATACTAGAGAATATGTTTATTAGAAATAATATTTTTTTAAGTTTAAGTAAGGTGGCGAAACGACCCTTAGCGTGAAAAATAGAAAAATGCGTGCCTAAACCGTAAAAATAGTTTTCCATTTATAACAAGAATGTCGGTTTAAATGTGAATTCTTATTTTTACTTCATTTAAATTCGATACTAGTTTGTTGTAATAAAATATCGATCACCGATAGATAATGCCACCTCCAAATCGATGCCTCCAATGAACACTACTCTAACTCAAATTTCGTAGGTTTACAGGAGAGTTTAAACGAAAAAAGTTGATAAATATATCTGCAATAATAAAGATTTTATAGTTTTTTCTTGTGTAACTAGCTGATTTACTCTTGCTTCGAACCCCATTAATAATGAATTGGTAATACTTTTAAAATAGTGAAGCGATTTGCGTGAAAAACGAAAATTTCAAAATTTTGAGTTAGAGTAGTGTTCATTGGAGGCATCGAAATGCTTATAAATGTTTAAAAAACCTTATAAATACAAAAACGATAAGTAATTTTTGTGTGAGCTAAACGAAAATTGAAAAACTATAAAATGATACAATTAAAAACGCTATTAAGCTTTTGAATTGTTTTATCTGTTCATCGCGATAAATTACTAAACAATAACTAAGTCGGTTAACTAAAACAAACCCCAAAAAATAATTGCCCAATAAGTTCACTCGACCCTCCGCTAGGAGTGCGTTTGATGACCACGCGATTGGCGTGAAATTACCCAAAAAGGGGGCCAGCGAGGGGACAGCGGGGGCTGGCAGGGGCTGGGTCAGAGGGACCAGACCACGCCGTGCAGTTGACAGCCTCACTGACCAAAACTTGTATAATTGAAATTTTAGAACAATTGAACTCTAACAAGTTCTTGTTCCCACAGATTATCCTACAGCTCTGGTTAATATTCACAGACTAGTGTGCGGATTACGATTAGATACAGTGAATTGCAAATTAAAAATATAAAATAAAGTTTGTCAGATATCATTTACCCACACTGTTATTATCATATAATTTTTAGAAGTAGATAATATATCGTCGTTGTCAGACCAAAATTTGCTGTATGCAATTTTTTTTTTAAATTTTTATTTATTGACCTTTTCGTATAGTTCACAGCCCTATCTACCGTATAAAAAAACTGTTATGTGTCTATAGCTTTAATATTTATCCATAGCTTTCATTTGATATAGTTCTTAAAAATTCACCTTCATATCAAAATTTATACGAAAATGTTTTTACTCGTTAATTCAAAATAGAGTTTTTGCACATAGCAGATTTTGGTTTGACAACGACAGCGACGATAATATTTTAAAACGGCATTGGAAATAAAATAATTAAATACAATACCGAGCCACAAATAAGCGGTGGCTATAGTTTGCGCGTGTTGATTAATTATTCATTAATGTATTTATTTGCACTTCATATTTACATTGAAATTTATTTACATTGGCGATCTTACTGTCTAAGGCATCCTATTAATCGACCAAAGGCAGTGCAGAGTAAATAATAGTAGGTGCTTTGAAATACAAATACATACAGAAAAATACATTTATGTGTCACTGATCACAATGCTATTTATGGAATTAGCGTAAATTCAATTTAGTTTAAGTAATTAATATCAGAAACCGATTCAGATCTTATCAAACTCATATAGTTTTTTTATATAGCTAGTGTGCTCACATAGCTTATTTTGTTACTTTATTAATATTTAATTTCATTTATGTATTTCTGAAGAAAATCATAAAAATTTCCACCATGTAAATTTTTTATATTACTTACAAAAATTATCTACATCATGAATTTTCGATAATAAAACTATGGTCATTTTTTTCGGAAATTGCCAAAGTTCCTGCTGGAATCTTTGTTTGAATCTTGATTTTCCCTTTTTCTAACCATATATTTTTTTAAGAGATTTTATGACCTGGTAACTAAGACCTTTAAGTCATGTCTTATTTTACTTTATATTCTTAATTTTATGAAAAATGATGGAGTGAAATGAAATGAAGATGATTAATTTGAGACATTAATCAACTGGGATGAAATTTAATGAAATGAAATGATATGGGATGAAATATAATCGCAGTAAAATGGTGGTCATTTACTGAGATTTTTTCAGTGGACTTTTTGGAGGAACCCGAGAAGTTACGTCCAGCAGCTTTGTTTCATTTTCCCACATTTGTGCACNCGTAGTGCCAGATTGAGGCGATCGAATATGTAGCCATTATGACACTACGTCGTAAAACGTTCACGTCTGTCAACGTAGTGTCACATTTAGATAAGCAAACATATATCCAATACGAGACTACGTCGGGAGACGTTCATCATTTTATATAGAGAATTTCACTGCCTTTTTGTGATGTCAGGGTAAGTGCTCACTGTCAGCGAACGTGTTAATAAAAGAAAATATGCTCCTTTCTTGTATACTGAACTGCATTATTTCATTAAATATCAAGAAAGGTCATTCATTGGTAGATCGCAGAGTGTTTCGTCAGTAGACAGTAAGATCTTTTGCCAACCCTGGTATAAATGGATCTGACGAACAGGACTCGGCGCTTACATTAAACTTACTTTATTTTAATGTCGAAGTTACTCAAACGAAAAGCATTTCGGGCTTATTGCGTCGGGAGCTTACAGTCCGGTATACAACGTGTTCAAAAGTTGGACTATAGAATGCTTCAAAGTGAACTGACCTGGGCTTGTGTAAAGAGCACTCTCCTCTTCCGCCGCTGCGCCAACGGGAATTGCATGGGCTTGGCGTCAGGACCCGCACACGCCGCCAGCCCGCCCATGTTATTGACATGACCCATTCCCCCCGACGTTGAAGTCATCAGCCTGGAAACTGAAGTACTGCATTAGTTTTTGATATAACTCAAGTTTATTTTATTTTATTGCTTAGATGGGTGGACGAGCTCGCAGCCCACCTGGTGTTAAGAGGTTACTGGAGCCCATAGACATCTACAACGTAAATGCGCCACCCACCTTGAGATATAAGTTCTAAGGTCTCAAGTATAGTTGCAACGGCTGCCCCATCCTTCAAACCGAAATGCATTACTACTTCACGGCAGAAATAGCCACTCACAAGAGGTCATGGCACCAGTTTAATTTATGTATTAAATTTGACATATTTTCGGTCTAAAAACGGTAATTTAATTCTATTTGTAGTTGTAGCACAGTCGTTGTAAAATTACATTGGCACTTCGATTTTAATTCGAAGGTAAGCCGTATGCTCGATCAAACATTGTAACAACAAAAAGTCATGAAAAAGAAAAAGCTTAATTTAAATTACTCTGAACTTTTAGAAAGGAATAATACTACGTAATTATGGGTATTGCACTTTTTATTTTAATTTCAATCAAGTTTATATCTTCTCTTCCTTAAATTAGAGGTTATTGTCAAACGCGGTATGATGTTTATTAAGTGCCTACAAATGTAGACCACTATACCTATTATTAAAATTTCATAACAAATGATTGCCCTATTGTTTGTTATATTTCACCATTAATTCAACTTGGATTATGTCATAAATCATGATTTAAACTTATTTTAATTGAATTCCTGGCAACATTAACTAAATTACTTGCTCTACCCACATTTCATCCCCCGAGTGGTGACACTCGCGATAATTTTTTTGTTTCACTCCGTCAGTTGCGGCAAAGCAATTAAATTTAAACAGCCACGACGTAGCATTCAGCGTGTCAGTAAATTATTAAGCTGTGGAACTTGAGAAGGTTTAATTTCGTATTATTTGTCTTAATTTCGATAATCAATGTTATGAATCGAAATCTATATATATTATTCGAGTTATCGAACTGTTTTAATGCAGAGCCGGAGAGTAAACAGTCTGTACTGTCTCTCCGCTTGTCCCGGCAATATTTCCTACCTAACTGTGGCCCCTAGTTCAGTGACCACTCAAGGATATCTTTAAATAGGTAATCGTTGTAGTAAAATCGTAGTAGGAGTTATTGCTCGTTGAGACATGATGGATAAACTGTATTCATACGTAACAAGTTCATTGCACTAATGGTAGGGTGGTAGGGATATCTGCCGCGATGCCGCCTGATAAAACACAGACTTAAAACTTAGGAGGCGGCAGTTACGCTGTTGATCTTTATTGACTCCGGTAACCACTTAACACGAGGTGTAATGTCGGATCTTTCACTTGTCTAGGCAATAAAAAAAGAAACAGTATGGATAGTTTTTAATACGGCATCAATGATCTGATGGTGTATCTTTGCCGTGGTCTATAAACTTAATGTATTCCACCACCCATCTTGATGCATGACGGTGAAATCTCGAGCTGGCGAACAAAGCGATATCACAAGGCCATGAGCAAATACGATATCAATTAAAAGTGAACCTAAATGATCCGAATTTCTGATAACATGGCGGCTTTCATCCCGACCGAACAAAGTAAATGGAGCTCGTATTTTTTTGTGAGGCATTACGTACGTTAAGTCTGAATCAATTGTCGAATGTAAGCTTGAGAGTGGGGTCGGTGCTGGCGATGCGCGGTTCCGTAGCTGAATTCAAACGAAGCTGTGTCTGGTATTTCTTTTAACTAATGAATTCCAACCATGATTCACTAAAACTGTCGCTATATTATGTGTAAAAACGCACGTTTTGAGGTTATTTTTTCTCGTACCTATTCGCTGTTAGCCAAAGGGGTTATTCCAACTACGCTGTGACTGGTAGGCGAACTCACTGTTTTAACTTAAGAGAATTTGCTAACACTAGCCCTAGCAAGAGCAATTTTCGGGGAATCTATCACCGGTTTTGAATCGCGACCCTTTGAAAAGATCCGGCGTGAAACTCAACGGGCTGTGTCTATGGGTTGGCGTTTCAAGAAATTATATCGGAATCCTTCGCTGATAAATAAATAAATAAGATAAAAATAAAAAGCCTTTTATTTCCTGCTAAAATACAAAGTAAATAGGTATTTAATAAATTTTATTTTTCTTCACTTATGTTTGGCCCATTAATTTTAATGGAACCCATTAAACATGGTGAAGGCCTCCTCCAAGTCCTTCCATTTGGTTCTATTTTGAGCTACCTGTATCCATCGAGGGCCAGCAATAGCTTTTATATCGTCCTCCCATTTTGATATCGGGCGACCCTTTTTTCTTTTGCCTTGTGGCCCTTCCCATGCAGTTATTCTTGCAGTCCATCTCTGGTCCTTAAGTCTGGCTACATGATCAGCCCATTTCCACTTCAAGTTTCTGGCATATTCGAGAGCATCTATAGATTTTGTTTTTTCTCCAATATTTGTGTGTCTGATTTTATGAATCTTTCTTATATTCAGCAGACTTCGCTCCATTCCTCGTTGGCAGCTTACTATTAGATTATTGGCCTTCGCTGATATTTAAACAAAATTCCATAAAAATGTTGTCGTAAAAAAAAACCTTATTCATAATTCTCGAAATGGTATATTTACGAATTGGATTACCTTAAAAGTTGACGGGTTCACCGTTTAATGCACGACAACGAAGTTAGCAAATGATTTAATTTATTAGCATTGAGTTTTAAGTAGCTTCAATTGGCAAAAATGTTTAGAGAACAACCAAACCTCTTCGTACCGCTAAAAACTCTTTTCATACCTACCTCGTTTGAATAAGGACATAACGTAGCGGTCAGGGAACAAACTCGGGGGGCACTTAGAGAGAGAGGGATGGGGTGCTTTCCCACCCGATTTTGGATATAAAATATCTACACGTGAATTTTGAAATAATTATTCACCATGACACCTCTATTCTCTATCTGTCATCTGATATCTTTGTTCGCCTATATTTTCGGCCATGTTTCTTAAGAAATGTTCGTTAAATATCCTAAATTTCTAAATGTTTCCACCAAAGGTGAGTAGGTCAAGGTGGGTGGCGCATTTACGTTGCAGATGTCGATGGGCTCCAGTAACTACTTAACACCAGGTGGGCTGTGAGCTTGTCCTCCCATCTAAGCAATAAAAAAAGAAAAACCGACAATATTAAATCACTGTTAAAATACCAAGTGGTTTCTTTCTTCAGTTTAAACGTCTCTAAGTTTACGATAAACAGCCTCAATGCACAATAGGAGTTCGAGGAAGACAGAATGGGGAGTAATATTTTATTGAAAGACCCTTTCCGAGTTCGAGTGTTTTGTAAATAGAGAGTTGAATTCGGAACGAGTGATGTGTGGAATATTGCCCGTATATCGGAAAGAATTTCGTGGACTGGTAACACATTATTATTTATAAATCTATGCTGTTAAGAATTTTTCAGTAATTGTCGTTGAAAGCATTGTTGAAAGCAAGGTTTAATTTTGCTCTTTTTGTTTTTTATATCCATTTTATGTGCGCATCGATACGATTTGACATATAACAAGTGTTTAGCTGTTAGCTGTATCCCAAAAGTATATGGAGTTCTATTAAGGGACATTTATCCCAAGTGTGTCCCACGTACATTCCTCAAAAAACCAATGCCAGACATTGGTCTAAATGTAGAACTTTATTATTGAGGTTGGCTCAGCTACTAGATCGATTTGGAGCACCCACACAACTAAAAAATTGAATTCGTGAAGCGCACACATGTAAACCTTTTCTTTCATACCTATTCGCTGGTAGCCTAAGAGGGTATTCTAGCTATGCCCTAACGGGTAGGTAGGCTCACGGACTCAACCTGAGAGAATTTGCTAAATAAATGAAATGAAGTCGTCGTGGCCTAACATATAAGACGTCCGGTGCATTCAAGTTGAGCGATGCGCCGGTGTTCGAATCCCGCAGGCGGGTACCAATTTTTCTAATGAGATACGTACTCAACAAAGGTTCACGATTGACTTCCACGGTGAAGGAATAACATCGTGTAATAAAAATCAAACCCACAAAATTATAAAAGATTTACTAGCACAGATTTTAATAGAGTCTTTCTAATGAGACCGCTGGTGATAATCCGTATCGGAGACAATACAGTGTTAATGGCACCCTTGAGACATGAGGTTTAATCCTCTGTCTCACTCGGTCGTGCGTAATAAACGCTTCTAGCTGTTGCGCCGACGGTCGTGGGTTCGATTCCCACATTAGGCAAACTTTCGTGTGATGAACAGCTTTGTTTGCTCTTTGTCTGGATGTTTATTATCTATTTATGTATATATTTAGTCGTATAAAAGTATGTATGTTAGTCTTTAGTACCCATATCACAGGAATTGTAATTTGAGGCCGGATGACCGTGCGTGATTTGTTTCCAGCTATCATTATTTTATTAATAGTAATTCTAATTGTGCAATAATCGCTGTATCAAACACAAACCTAGGTCCGATCAGAGACATATAATCCTTTTATATCGAATGTAACTCAATACGAATACTCTTAGGTGTTCAAAACTGCTTTGGGTAACGTTTTATTTTTTTAATTTTTTTATTGGTTAGCTGGGTGGACGAGCTCACAGCCCACCTGGTGTTAAGTGGTTACTGAAGCCCATAGACATCTACAACGTAAATACGCCACCCACCTTGAGATATAAGTTCTGAGGTCTCAGTATTGTTACAACGGCTGCCCCACCTTTCAAACCGAAACGCATCACGGCAGAAATAGGCGGGGTGGTGGTACCTACCCGTGCGGACTCACAAGAGGTTCTACCACCAGTAAAAATCCTAAATCGTTTACGTAACTATATTTTCCTCTTGCCGACTGAACTTTACGGTATCTTGAATACGTCGAAATGACCCTGTCACCCCTACGTCACATTATATATGCGACATCCGCAGCTCTCATTCGACCCCCACTCCTATAACTACATTATTTATTAGCATTTATAAATTTGTTGTGAACATTAAAACAGAAACTTTATGTTACGTCACGAAAATTAAATAATA